AGGCGAAGTCTGCAGGGTCGCTGCAGGGACAGACGGTGACGAGGGAACTGGAGCTGGACAGCGGCCCGACAGGACTCGTGGGGCCCCCCCGGCTGGCCCTGCCACTCCCTTCGCTCTCCCTGGGCAGGGAGCACCAACGTTACCCCTCCTGCCTAGGGAGAGGGACCCCAAAGGGAGAGAGAGGGACGTGATGGCACCCGGCGAGCCTCACCTCCCTGGCAGCTGCCACGCCAGGCAGTTGGAGCTGCTGGCGCTGGCTGGATGGGGCCGGAGGAGCTGGCTGGCCTTTCGGATGGTCACCAAGTGCCTGCAGATGAGGATGTGAAGGCAAAGTCGGGCAGTGGTCTCTAGTGGAGATGCAGCATGGGGGTCTGTCCTGGGCGAGCTGCACACTACTCACGGCACCGGGGCCATGGCCAGGGGTCTGTTGCAGGAGATGCACTTCACTGGATCGAAGAGCTGCCTCCAGCACAGGGGCGGCTGCTCAGCACCCCCGCCGGTACCCCAGGGACTGTGCGAGGTCCCACGGGTGGCTGGCGCCCCATGGGCAGGGTGAGACAAACGGTCTGGATGGGACGGACAGGGCAGGATGGGACAGCATGGGAAAGGGTGGGGCAGTATATGAGAGGACAGAAGGGGACAAGATGGGATGGAATGGGACCTAGCAGCCCTCACCTCTTGAAGCCGGCGGCACGGTTGGCACTGCAGCAGGGTCCCTGGCAGAGGCACTGCTGGGTGAGCCTCCACACCTGCTCCAGCTGTGCCTGCAGGGGAGCCAGCGCCGCACAGTCCAGCTGCAGGGAGGGCAGGGGGTCTCGTTGGGACACCAGCCCCATTTCAAGGGTTGCTGTTGCCCCTGAGGGACACTGGGGACACCTTGGGACACATGGCCAGGCCATGGCGCAAGGACCATCATCTCTTGGCGTTGGCAGATTCAGGGCTCACCCTCCCCATGCAGGTATGTGCTCCCTGGCCTGGTGCATCCCTCCATCCCCACCACCTCCCCCGGGTGACACTGCTACCTTGGTGTCCATCTCGCTGAGGAGCTCCTCCAGGGCTTTCTGCCTGTCCTGGTCCAGCAGGGACATCCTCTGCTGCAGGTCCTGCATCATCTCGCTCAGCTGGACCATGGCACGTTGCAGCTCCTCCTGGCTCACTTTGGTCTCTAGCACAGCCTTGTCTGCTTTCTGAGGGAGGCATGGTGTCAGCCATCCCCTGCGGAGCCCCAGCCCTGCCACTATCCCCACATGCCTTTGCTTGCTCACAACACCCAAGCCCCGCTCCAGCAGCACCTTGCTAATGGCTGGGGGCTGCACCATTCCCGCGCGCCTCGCGGC